CTGGGAGTTGAAGTCCACTCATCTTAAAGTGGCCAAGTTTGGACAACACTGACTTAGGCTGAAGCATTACTTTTGTTGATAATCCCAAGTAGTACATTCTGGAGAGTCCTAGATAATGACTCTTGGCAGCATTGAGTAGCTGGTCCCTACTGCAGTTGTCTGAGCTGTGTTTTGTACTCTTGCGTGTGTTTTTGGGTGAGAAGAGTAAGCATCACCTGTAGAATTTAATGAAACTTGTGCATCTCGCAGAAAGAGCGTGTTGCTTCTCAGATCCCTCATTTTTGGATTGTGGCCTCTTCCTCCTTTGAAAAAAACAAAAACTCCTTTGATCATTTAGCAAACTTGGATTAAGGTTTTTGACTTCCCAGTCCAATCCATAGTTCTGGTGGTCTCTCACAGAAGTACTAATAAAAATGTGTGTAAATCTGGTCCAGGCACGTGGGTGGCTGTGCAGGAAAGAATTTTCCCTGCTTCCTCATTTAAGAGGGTTAAACCCCTTTAGAGGTACCTTTGTTTAAGAGAAAGCAAAAGCATTAACCACACAGGATATCATGACTTTGGTTACTGCTCCTGCTCTTCTTCTTTTTCCTCTTCCTCTTCCCTGATGAAACAATAAAAGGATGTATCTGCCTTATTTTTTTAACCAGGTAAAATTGACCAGAGTTCTGCCACTTTCCCCTTCTTCCCCAAGAGACAGGAGAAGTGATAATGTCTCTTTTTGCCAGTCCAGGTGAGACAAAGAAACAGGAATTTACCAACTGGGGGCTATAGTAGGTATGGCCAGGACATAACATCAGCCTTTCAGTGGTTGAAATCCAGAAAGGGAGGCTGGTTTCATCTCTGACCAGTTTAGGCACAGGAGACAAGCAGCTTAAGGCTGCAGCATGGAAAAACCCAAGAGTGAGCGGGCTTAAGCCATCTTTAGCTGCACTGACGGTGAAGTCGCATTTCCCCCTTTATTGCAGCTCCATTCAAAGGGAGCCTCAAGGTGTATAAGGGAGGGGAATCTCTTACTTGCAGTCACTGAAGCAAAAGAAATGGAGGCAAAAGGGGGCTGGCAATGGGGGCAGCACATTTCATGCCAGTTTGGTTTTCTGCTGACCCCAGATGGGTGGTATTGAGAAAATACAAGTGAGAAAAGGCCCTGAGAATGGGCTAAACCCAGTCTCAGACTTCTGCAAGGAGGGGTGAGGGAGGAAGTGACATCAGGCCTGTAATGACTCCATTGTGACTTCCATTACATGCCCACCATACTTTCAGTAGCCAGGAAGGCAACCTCTGGAAAGAAAGCAGGTACTGGATCCCTCCAGCAGAGGGCACTGCTGGCTTGCTAAGCAGCCATCATGTGCCTAAGGTGGTATTCTTCAAGGTGGCACCTCCCAGATGTGTTGGGACTACAACTCCCAGAATTCCCCCAATAGCTCAATGTATCTAGAGGGCATCTGCATGGGGAAGGGTGGGAGAACAGTGCACATGGGTGAACACACAATTCAGACTCCAAGCAGCAACAGAAGTTACTACTTGACATCCTAATGTCTGTGTTTAATCCCACGGAGTCTGGAATGCATCAAGGGCGTGCAGCTGTGTAGTGTTACCCAAGGTTGCGACACAAGGTCATATATTAAGAATATCTTTGGAGAAATTTCAGGGCAGCTTTGTTGCCACAACATCCAGTTTTGATTTCTGTACACATTTATTTTGCGAGTCTTACATAGTCCCCATATTTACTTCCTGGAGAAGGCAAAGGAAGTTCTCTGTATAATGACCAGGTCCATATATCATGCTAAGCTAGCGCTTATTTCATTGTGGTTTATTAAATAAACCACCACTGTCTAGGCTTGGACATATTTTACCAACCACAATAGCTGGATCCACATTAATGTGATTATTATTATTATTATTACTGTTATATTAACAGCAGCAACAACAACAATAATAATCTTACTGTGCTGACCATTATAAAGTTTGATTTGGGTCTGATTCACAATTAACTATATATAATGTGTATGTAAACTTGCTGCAAAATGTAAACCCAGGTGGCTTAGTTTCATGTCTGACCTACTTATTTGACAAATCAGTTTTAAAAACCTTGGTGCTGTTTCATGTGTCATTCCACCATTAATTTTCTCTCGCATGCAGACACACACAGAGGCACAGAGGTAGAAAGGCACATATCCATCATGAGAAAAGTCTGCAGTTTTGATGGGAATCTACTGGACAGTATCCACAATGAACAACAGAACAATTTTGGAACTCTTTAATGTTTTTTCTTTTCTAAAAGACTAAATAGGTTAAAGAAAAGCCATCAG